TCTAGGGATATATGAGCGGGAATTGGCATGGGAATCAGTCATGGGACCATTCGCCGGGGACTTATTGAATAAATTCTAGATTCGCGAAGACCATGGAAAATGTCACTGCTTGGTTAAAGGCATATCAAGGCCAGATTGGAGTTCGCCAATAGCCACTTGAACTGCCACTATTCAAATGGCGTTATATCCGTTGGACAAATGACTCCAAATTGGTTTTATTTGGTGGAATAGGACAAGATAATATGTCCGTCGACCTCCAAATACATAGTACCCCCAAAACCATACGCTGAAGACAGTAAAATACGGTGGCCTAAAAGTCATGGTATCGGTATACTTTTCATACAACGTTGTAGGTCCTGTATATATGATCTGCGGGATCAAAGACCATTATGTTTATGTCTAAATATTAAAAACTGTCTAGCAGCCGTATCCTGAGGAAAATATGCCATTAATTTGGACATTTCAGCAGTACAGTGACCCTAATCATACCAGCAAGGTAGCCAAAGAGTGGGTTCTTAATGAAAAAGTGGATGCAATGCCATGTCCTGCACAGTCCCCGGATATAAATCCGATCGAAAACTTATGGGGGACATCAAGGGCTACGTATTAAAGAAGTTTCCGACTTCTAAGATGTAGCTTTGGCAATTTGTGCAGGAGGAATGAGGCCATATTCCCCTCAAGCGTTGCTAAGACTTGGTGGACTCCTTGCCACCCATGTATGAGGCTATAATAGCTTCTAAAGGCTATTTAACAAAATATTAGATCATAGTCAATTAGAATTTAAGAAGAAATAGGTTTCTTATACGATATTTTTAAATTTATGAAGAATTTTAGTTTTTCACTGCTATTTCAATGATCGGCATAATATAGACCTTTTTTGTTGTTATTAGCTATATCTTCTAAAGGGTTTATGTTACCTAAATTAAATGATTGTGGTATTGTTAATAATTAAATACACTAAGCCTTTATGAAAAAAAATTTGATGAAAATAGTGTTTGTAATAGTATTTTCCAATCTTAAACGTGCAGGTCGTGTGGCACTGCTATTTCCGTGAACACAGCTGTATGTATGTACATACATTCTTGTTTTTAAACCTGCCAAACATAGAACATATCAATATAAAAATTCGTTGGCCTGACAACCAGAAATAAAAACCGAATTTAAGGCAAAGTTTAAACAGTTAAAAACCTATTCAAACTATTAAAAATCCCAGGATGTACTTTTTAATTTATTTTAATAATAAATCAATAAAGATTATAATTTAGAAGTGTTTCAACTTTTTATTTTCACTTTTTAGTTTAAAATATATTGTCGTTTATTTTCGCCGGTTAATCAAATCAAAACAAACTCGTCAAATCTGTAATTACAAAAGGGTGATGGGACCCGAAAATAGAAAGCAGCTGTTGCACTATTCTAACTGAAGCTTAAATGTAACGGTTAAATTAAGCACGGGCAAACTGCCAAATCGGGGGTGGGGCAACAGGCCGATTACAGAATTTCATTTACAACTCGAAAAACAGTGGCAGCCAAAAGGGGGTGCCAGTGGGCGGGAGGAAGGTTCAGACTTCAGTCGCCCAGACATCGCGTGACTATTTTTGACATAGCGTCCAACGAGTGCTTTAGGGAAAGAGAGAGCAAGAGGGACATGAAGAGAAAGACAACTAGGGAATGGAAAAAGAAAAGAAGCAACTGCATCTACACGGACAAAAATGTATAATGTTTATTTCTAATGCTTATGCTCATGTTTTTAACAGTAAAAAGCATTGCAACCGTAATTTGAAACCCTGAATTGAGTTTAAGTTATATACATATCTAAAAAAAAAAAAACAACTTATATTTCGTAGCAATTCTTCCACAATATCGCTTTTTATTTTGCTGAGTGTAGCTCTGTGAAAAAGTCACGAGGCGCCGGGCGAAAGGGGTGGGGGTGCAGGGGCAACTCAGTGGGTTGGCTGGGTGGCAAGCGGCAAGCAATGTGGCACGTTTTCCTTGGTTATACCAGCTGAAAATCGTACGAGTTTCAGGGGAAATGTTGCCGCCGTGAAGCTTGAAACAAAGTACAAGAATAATGCGGCGAAGAGAAGAGAGACAAGAGCGCAACTGAGAGAGCCGGTTGCAGGCGTGTGAGTGTACGAGTCTGTACTGTACTGTACTGTGGGGTTCAGGGCGAAGAGTATCGGGCCAGAGAAAGAGAAAAACAGGGAGGGCTCGCGAGAGAGTACAAGAGTGTAGGGGCATAGTTTGATGTGAAAAGGTCAAAGAGCAAATTATTTACATGAAGGCAACTGAGAGGCGGGCGGCGAAGTGGGCGGTCTGGCCATGAATGAAGACTGAGACCGGCAAACACGGAAGAAATGTGGGAGGGTCTGTGGGGGTAAGACTGGCTGGTGTTGCAGGTAACAGAACAATGGGCGTTGTACCTCCCACATGGCGTTCTATTTTTACGTGCAACTTGATTCTAATAAGCCGGATTTAATGGAGACTCTTTTATATACATACATATGTGCATAAAACCTTCAAAATGAATGAAAGTACTAACGTTTAAGCTCTTCATGTTATTGGCCACGCCTTAGGCTTTAAAAATTTCGCGATTTGTGATCTCTTTTAAACTTTCATTTTGTTTTCATTCATTATCATTACTAGAAAATATATTTATATGTTAAACAGAATTTGATTTTAAAGTCACAGAACCTGCGGTACATTTGAAATCACTTGAAATTGCATTATTTTAGAAACCTTTAACATTACTTTTTATCTGTTTACAGATTTCTGTCACTTGATTCTAATATGGAATTCTGGTTTACCACAGTTAGTATTGTTATAGTATATTTCCAATTTGTAGTCTATTTTATGGAGGACCTGTTAGGGAATCTAATGTTGTGATAACAAGTAAAGCTTATATTTCAGTGTAAAAACTATAGTTTACCGAGAAGAACTTGGGTATTTATTCACTTAGAGATATTGTAACTTGTTTTTGTTTTATCTTTATACTTTTAACTTGCTTAAATCCGTTTTGATAAGAAGTTTTTTCAGAATTATTTAAACACATATAATGACTCGAACGCTTTACCGATTCTTTTAAATAAATAGTTTTTAGCATTTCATCGTGAATACACAATTTTTAAAGGCCCTAGTCCACCATCATCCTGTATCAATCGACTTATAGTACCCACACGTTACTCTGCCACTTTTCTGGGGATTATCTATTCCGGTCGAGGTTTTAAATCGCTGATGAACTTTTTGATATTGTATGTAGATAAGTAGCTACCGGCAGTTTGTGAGTTCCGAGCGATATGGCCGTTATTAAGTGCCACCGTCTGAGGCGTATTTCCGGCCAAAGCACAAGCCGCGCCCTAGAAACAAAAGCGTGGCATGAAAAGTGCAGTCCGCCCATCTCCCACAACACACACACACACTACCTCATCGCTCAGCTGGTCGCTGGGAATCAAAAACAGATGACGCACACGCACACCCATATGACCCCGAACTGGAAGTCCCTGCCCGCCCCTCCCACTGGTGTCGCCCACAAACTCGCGACAGAAACTCGCATGATTTTCAGTTGGTATAACAGAGACCCAGAGAAAGGGAGGGCTTCATATGTATATCCAGCGGCTGCCAAAGCGGGAAGGCAGAATAGAGATAACATGCGGCGGAGAGAGTTTGCGCAGAAGACAGTTACAAGAAATTTACACGTGCAACTCGAGAGCAAGTGAAAATAAAACCATCTAGAGAGAGAGACCCTTTCGAGAGACAAAGGCAGAGGGAGAGCGCGTGAGAGTTGCTTTGTTTATGTGCGTAGATTTTGAATGGATTCTCTACCCACGTCTAATTAGAATTTAAACTGCCTCGGTAAAGAATGCAATTAACAGGTTATAAAAATAATGGTACGCCAAGCATTTCAAAATACAGTCAAGCTCCTGCAGAGATCATATGATCTGGAAGCACTTGTAAAAGCTTGTATTTAAAAGATGCGCGTTCAAAATTCTGAAAATTGTAATACTACGTTTTAAAAAAGTATTTTAAAATAAAATTCAAAATTAATAAGAACATAATTTTCAACGTAATATTTTGGGTACTAAGTCCACTATAAATTGGTTTACTTCGATATAGTTTGTAGCATATTTTCTGGCAGTATTTAAATTGATTTTAAATCGACAATGAATAACCAAAGTAAGTTTTTGACCTATTATTATTCGTACAATAAAAATACATATTTTATAAATACTCGTTTAGTGATTTGCGTCGTAATTTTTCCACCAAGTTCAAGTATTTAATCATTTTTGTAATTTATAGCCTCTTAAAGGAGTTTTTGAAAAGCTTCAGGTATCACAAATAATAACTGATAACTACATATATTTTATTGCAATAATTACTAGTTTGTTATAATTATTATTGTATTAGTAAGAGTGGAAAAAATACGATACATATCATGACTTTAAAAGTTTTAGCCTTTAGTTAAAGTGCAATTGTAACTCGTTTATTTAGGATTTTATTCAATCCATAATTGAGATTTGTCAACCACTGAAATGGACTTTGTAGCGTAGAATCCAAAGCTCAATCAAATACAGCCTTAATGTGGTAATTTAATGCTCTAAGAGAAATAATCAATAATCAAATGCCCCGATATCGAGTGGCAAAAGCCTTGGTTGTTTTTTTTTTCTGGCGAACCAAACAATCGATAGCCAAAACAAACAAATGGACAGCCGTTGCATAAGGCAAAGTGCAATTGCACTTTTCAGCTACATCCGAAATTGGGTCAGCGGAAGGCTGTTGATTCCACCGCAGACAGAAATAAATTGTAAGAAGCGAGCTAAACTCATTAGGTAAATTGCAAGCGTCATTGATAAGGTGGCGTGACACTACGAAAAACAATAAAAAAAAAAAATCTAAGTACAATAAAAATAAAGGGGCAAGCCGGCAGCATGGCGGGAGGTTGTTGTAAGAGAGAGCAAAAAGAGAACAGCAGCTGAGAAAGAGCATTACGTGGGACATGAACTTACCTTTGCCGGAGAAGAGCCTGCTCGCTTCTCAGTTCTGGGCGGCACAAGCGGGATGGAACGCACATGTAAGAATTCCAGAATAAAATACGAGAAAATCAGACAAACGAAGCCTATAATATACCGCCGATTATATAAAATGATCTTTTGCCAATAGGAACGCACGCATACGCACACGCACTACACAAAAACACAAGCGCATACACGTAATGTCAGCGCCAGCATAAAATGTTGCGTTGGCGTCAACACGTTTTGCCCCAATCTCCTTCGCTCCGTTCTCGAAGTTCTCTTATTTCACGACTTTTTTTTATATTTAGAGTGTTCGTTGCGCTTTAATTGATAAAACTTTCGCAAAACTTTCACAAAACTGCACAATTGCCACACAAACAAACGGGGCACGTGTGTGTGCATATAAAGGTGTGTTGGTATGAGTGTTTTTATCACGCCACTCAAAAAGCACTTTTCTACTTACACACAACACACTCTCGCACACACAACACGCTCAAGGAGGTGTTTTTAAACTGCGTTTTAGGTTGTTGTTTCTTCTGTTTTAGTATAGTTTGCGCCCGAATGCAAAAATAACGGAAATTGCGACAATGACGCGTGCACAACGTTCTGATTCACGCGCTACCGCAAAAAGTATCTAGAGAAAGACCGATTTTGGTTTGGACTGTCGCCGTTACGTTTGTTGCTTCCTATACTTATAGGCTTCGCTCTCTTTTTCTTCGGCCTTCGCTCCCAGAGTTGAAGCGAAAGAGAGCGCGCGCTGCTCTCCACCCAATTTCATGGACGCTTGCTGCTGTTTTCGCGTTTCGCTTTTGCCACGAGATTATTTGCCTTCTCCTTTCTCTCGCTCTCTTGAATTCGCCGCTCACACTCACACCACCGCGTGGTAAATGCCGATGTTGACTCTTTCTGTTTTGCTGCTGTTGCTGGTATTTTGATTGAACCGATTGATTTATGCAATGCACCGGCCATCAGTCCACTTACTCGCATGATGTATTGACGCGTTTATTTTCGCTGATTTTCCGCCAGTTGTCGGTATCCCAGGATTTATTCAGTCATCGAAGAATATTTTCATGTTAATTCGCCGCAGCAGTGTTGCCAGTTCAGCCGATTTCTGGCTAGATCTAGTATATTATAGCCTTAAAAACGCTTAATTTCATATTAATTTAGCAATGATTTATTTTATAAGAATAAAAGCTAAGGATGTCGACGATTGTTCTTTTTTCGCCGATTGCGTGTTTCGCATAAAACAATTAACACATATTTTCTTTAAATGTTGCGAGTTTAATAAAATGATTTGATTTTATTCAAATATTTTATTATTTACCATATAGATACATTTTATCTTGTTATATGAACTTTTTGAGCGATGCTGAAAAAATATGTTATTCAGGCCTGTTCTAGTTTCCACTCGGAAGTGAATTTGATAACATTTGCGGATTTCCCTTTAACATAAGCGAATTTCCCTTGGTGATTTAAGGAAATTTTTTTTAATTTCCCTTAAATTCCCAAACAAAATCAGCTGGTCGCTTTCAACAAAAGAGATTCCCTTGTCTAAGATTTGCTAAAAGGGGCTGGTCAAATTTTGGCCCGCTGTAGTCTCCAACTCATAGATAGTAATGAAGCACTAATTTAAATAATAAAATCTAAGGAATAAGCATTAAGACAGGAAATAAACATTTTGAAATATTTGTAATTGCAATCAGCTGTTCTGGTGGCAAAATGCTCGAAAGTAGAGTTGCCGAGGGTTTAGAAAAAATTCCCTTCGCATAAAATTTAGTTCAGTTTGTGGATTGAATTGGCTGGTATTTTAAAGAAAAACACTTTTTCATATACTTTACCTAATAGCAGATATTTTAATTGTAAAACAACATAAAAAGTAATTGTTCGAAATTAATCTTAAATATATGCCGTTTTTTTTTTGAAACGCTGACAACCCTTAAATGGTCCCTCTCAAATACGACACAGCGGCAGCGGATTTGCAATAATGTTGAAGGTTAGAATCGAACCGATTTTAAGGTGCACCCACAAAATAATTATTTATAAATTAAGTAAGTTAGTATTAGCTAATTCAATTATGCAATAATGTTCCCAAAACTTCAAGGAATATATTACAATTAACATTTGTAATATACATAATCGCATTGTATTTTAAAATAATTAATTTCTTATTTTGCGGATTTGAATCCGCCGGCCAAATGGCACACGGAAAGTTAGACTTAACAGAGGGAAATACGAATCCGTAAAAATTGTTCGGAAGTGAACACTAGAACAGGTCAGGGAAATCCGAATCCGAATAAATTTTGCGGAAGTGGAAACTAGAACAGGCCTGATTATATATTATTTTTAGCTTATTTTTTCACAGAATCTAGCTTATTCAATGGCTCATCACTGCCAAAACTGAAACAGACCGTGTTTGGTACAGAAAAAAATACAAAAAGAGTGACCGTGCGTCAAATTAGTGTCGGTGTAAGCGTCGAAATGGAACGGTGGGAAATTGAACACGGAGGAGGTTTTTTATTTTTTAATTATTTCGTTATTAATACTGTCTTCCCACACAGCGCATTTGTGAGGAACGTTTGGGATTTTTCACAAATGTGAAACTCGTGTTCCCACACAGCATTAAAGCGCATTTAGCATCCGAGCAGCTGATCGATCAGCTGTGGCTCATGAAAACGTAAACAAAGGCTGTCGAATTGGCAGTTGCAAATTTGAAATGGAGCATTTACCAACTATTTTGGCTGTTGTAGAACAGCAAAAGGCACAGATTGCGTCAGAATTTATCCGCAATAAATTTAAATGAATTAAATGACAAGGAATTTTAGTTTTTCTAATGATTTTTCTCTAACAAAGAGCAAATTCCCCGAAGAGTGTCTATAGGTGGTATAGGCATCCAAAATCTTTAAAATAAGGTAGAGGTAGGCGGTTTATATTAAATAGTAACAATTGGGGACATATTGGGGCAAGAATTTACAGAAAAAACGCCAACATCTATTTTGGGCATGCTTGTAGCTTTGGCGCCACGTTTTAAATTCCATATCTCATTTGTTTCTCGCCAAGTTTGTTTACATTTTCGTGGTGAATGGTCAAATTTTCAGAGTTGCACCGAAGAACTATCGCCTAACTATCGCCAAACAAACCGTGGTTAGTTCAGCATTAAAATCTAATGCTGAACTAACGCCGGGCCATTTGGGAAAATTCGGAACGGCAAAACCTTATGGAGCATTTGTTCAACGGATGCTAAATGCGCTTTAACGCTGTGTGGGAAGACCCTATAAGGCACTAATTCGAACAAAATAAAGTACCTACATGTTAAGAATTAAATGTACTATTGATTTATTTTGGGTTTGGGCAGTTTTGAGCAACGATGGTACTTAAATTTTCCATTGGAAAAATCGAGTCCCTACCTATTTTAAGATTTCGCACCCCCACAGAGGATGTACCGCTAAGCACGGTAAGCCAGGTTTTGGGGCACTTATTTAAGTATAATCCCAGAAAGTTTAATTAAAATCCTAACGACAGTTTTTGAGCAAATCGCTCAACAGTGGCCAAACCTATGGTTCCCCACCATACAAAAACCGGCAGCAAAATTTTAAGGTCGCCAAGCTTAGCTCTCAGAGGATGTACCACTATAACTGGTTTATGGGCATATTGGGGAGCGAAAATAGAAAATTTGGTGAACATTTTATTAAAAACAAAACGACAGATTTTAAGAAAATAGCTTTAAAGTTTTGCGTTCAAAATGGCTGTTAGAAAGGCGCGAGCTCCGGAACTGGAACCGGTCGTGAGCCAGTGGTTCAGTCCGCTATTGAACCAATGTTATGCATTCAAAAAGTTGGCGGGAATAAAACTGAGGAATGAATGAATAAACTAACTAAAGTTTAAGTATTAGCATTGTAACTGGTTTCTAAATATACAAACGCAAGACAAGGCAGGGCATTGCGTTGGGAACTGATTGCTAAAACTCGTTATCGATACTTAACATGCCGATTCGAACACAAAACCGCATGACGCCACGCTTCAAACGACATTTCGACGCTAACATTTAAATCATTATTACAACTCTCACAGAGGATGTACCAACATGCACGGTACATCAAACGAATGGGAAAATTAATTCTGATTTTCTATATTAATTTGATCAAGATCCTAACGACAGATTTTGAGAAATTCACGTGTTTCTCTTATTTTCATAAATAACACTGATTTTATATCGATGGGAGCGCTACGCCCTATCGATGAATCCCCGCCAGAAAATATTTCTATTGACAATTTGAACAATTGTGTTAATTATGAATGCCCAATAAACGACATTGTCATTGTAAGCAATTGGGTAGGTGTTTTATCAAATTTCGTTCAGTCGTTCAGGAGAAAACACCTTTTTTCTATTTATTTACATATATGTACCAAGCGAATAATAGCGAATAGGGCAGCCCTGGTTGCCTATATATAATTATATTTGATATTATCTTTAGGATACGACTTATGAAAAAGGAAGATTGTTTCATAAACGACATCGTTTTTTCAAACATTTTAATCCATATTTCATCAAAATCCGTTCAGTCGTTTAGCAGAAAATCCATTTTTATTGTTTCTTCGATTATTATTTTGGTACAAGTAGCGTTTTTTTGGGCTTGTACCAATACACATTGTACACTAAGTCACAGCGAAAATTCTGAATAAATTTTGGTAAAAATATCCAAACGTTTAGGCCAGTAGTTGGTAAGAAAATTAGTTTTTAAGATCCAATTGTATTAATATGCTTCTGCAGCCCTGGCTGATCGACAAGTGAAATCGTCGACGGTCTGGCAACACCGACCTGTCCTTATTCGCACTGAAATCTTCAAGAGGACAACGCTACGAACAAAGTTTTTTACAAATAACACATTAAATAAACGCAATAACACAAGTAAGTACACCACCGTAAACCAGGCGACATTTGTTTTATTATATTTATTTGTTTTATACATATTTATTCACCTATTATTCTTTTATTTTCCATATTTCAGCGAAATTAAAAAAGTTGTTTTATTTCCAAGAAATAAGCACTTTGGAAGAAAGCGAACGTAAGTTATTGTTAAAAAAACATAGTTTAGAAATAATTTGATTTCTTTCAGATGAAAATTGTCAACAATTATTTTGATGGCCAAGGTGGGCGACAAGGCGGTGACGGCCAAGGAGGTGGTGGCGGCCAACGCGGTCGTGGCGGCCAACGCGGTCGTGGCGGCCAAGCTGGTCGTGGTGGCCAGGAAGGAGGACGCGGACAGGCCCCCAATCGGCTGTATAAGTTCCGCACCTGGTTAATATACCTCCGCAAAGTCCCGACCTAAACTCCATAGAGCACGTATGGAATCCACCGGAGATTCGCGATAAAACGAATCTAAAGGCAGCGCTACAGAATGATCCGCTAGAATATTGGAAGGTAACATTTAAAATATAAATCTTTTAAGCTATAACCATTTTTGAATTTTTAGCAGAGCAATGAAGCCCACTTTAGTTCACTAGCGCATTGTGCGTTAAAATATCTGTGCATTCAGCAAGGCTGGGGAGATTATATTATTTATTATTTATTATTATAAAAGATTATATCAAAAATGTATGATTGTTACATTTTATTTATAAATTTTAATTAAATCTTTTTAATTTTAATTTTAATTTATTTTCTTTTTTTAAGTGTGCAAC